TACACTCGCCTAATTGTGGTTGCGGGGAAAGAATCGAGTCATAGCTCTTGGCCCCGCCTCGTCACTGGTCACTGCTAGGTCCACTCCCTGCTCCATGAGCTTTATTTTGTGTTGATATCATGTCCTCCCCATATCCCTCCTGTCCTCCAGTGTTGTCAGGTTGAGTTCCCTTAATATCTACTCGTTGGACAAACCCCTAAGCTCCAGGACTAGTCTTGCTGCAAGCCTTTGCACTTTCTCTTAATTCCTTGACGTACTTGACCAGGTGTGGGTTCCATACTGGTGCTGCATACTCCAATGTGGGCCTGACGTACAGTGTCGTGAATGACTCCTTAATGTCGAAACGCTATTCTCAGGTTTGCCAGGCGCCCATATGCGCCTTAGATGTGCTCAGTATGATCATCCCAAAATCCTTTTCCTTGAGTGAGTTTCCTTGAGTGAGGCTGTACTCAGTGTGCGGTCCCCTTTGTCCTTCTCCAAGCTTTATGACTTTTCACTTGCTGGGTTTAAACTCCAGGAGCCATTTGTCGGACCAGGCTTGCAACCTGTCCAGATCCCCTTGTAAGCTTACCTGATCTTCGTCCGCTTGTATTCTCCTCATTGGTTTCACATCTGCAAACAGGGACACCTCTGACTCCATCCATTCCGTCTTGTCATTCACATGTACAAGAAACAGCACTGGACCCAGGACTGACCCTTGTGGATCCCCACCCGACACATGCACCCTCTCTGACACCTCGTCTCGTACCAACACTCGTTGTTTTCTTCCTGGCAGGTATTCCTTAATCCATTGCAGTACTTTCCCTTCTATTTCTGCCTGCTCCTCTAGCTTATCTGTGTGTGTGTGTTGGGGGGGGGGGGAGGGTACACGTGTCGGGTCATGAGTAAGTGTTAAGATACCACTAGACTCGCCACTGCATAATTTCTCTGTTGGTCAAGGTGAACTAGTGGCTACCTGCCTCTTTCTCTCGTGTGACGAACTGGGTACATCAACAGTGTGCTGCTGCTGATACCCAGGGAGACTGGTGGGTACTAGGATTGTGGTATTTTTTATAATACCCAGTGTTTTGAGGTACAGCTGTGATGTACCTTGTGGGGGGAGGGGTTGATCACAAGAGCCAGGGTTATGAGAGTCGAGAAATGTCTCTCAGATCGTGCACACTGCTCACACAGACTCCATTATCAACGTTTCCACCCGGCACGGGTGGAAACGTCGGACATGGTCTCTTGCACCTGCTGTCCCTGTTCACCTAGTAGTCATTAGGTACGTGAGTGCTAGTCGACTGGTGTGGTTTGCATCCTGGGGGGTGGTAGTATACCTTAGGAGTTGGGTGTGAAATGAGCTGAGGTAGGATAACAGCTCTTAGCCTGTAAATGAGCTGAGAGAGCGTATGTAAGAGAGGTAGGGAGAGCGTGGTTGTGTGTTGTCTGACGGCTGGGACCCTGGGTAGCTGGGCAGAAGTGTGGCTCCTAATAAGGCATTGTGACTCACATCTGTGTATTGTGAAACTCTGAGAGGCGGCTCTGTGTGAGGAGGGCAGGGCAGGGCAGGGGCAGAGGTTACACCCAGTTCTGAAACAGGGAAGGGAGAGAATCATTTATTACCGGAGTACAGGGTTCATAGGGTTCTTGTGGGAAGAGAGGTCCAGTTATGGTGGGATGGAAGGATTGAGTCAGTTCCTGTAGGGTGGGAGTTGTGGGAAGGAACGAGGAGGATGATGATGGAGTCAGTCATTGTGGGATGGCAGGATGGAAGTGCTTGCTGGATTACTCACTGATTCAACTTGTAGTATTGAGCAGTGTTCAGCCTGGCTGATCACAACTCGTGTAAGGAATTTCTCGAGTTTTGTCTTAAAGAAAGCCAGTGATTCCTCCCCTCATGTATGGAGGGAGGGTGTTGAAGAGTCTTGGTCCCTTTACCTTTAATTAAGCTCTCAGTATACTCATCGCTCTCCTGCACCGTCTGCCAAGCCTCTTGTGTTTATTAGTAGTTATTTTGGTGAGCCGATTTGGTAGCAATCCCTCCAGTATCTTCCAGGTGTAGATTGTCTTTCGCACCTCTGTTTAAAGAGTACAGTTCGAGGAACATCCAGCTCACCCCAAAGGACCCCAATGGAAATAAGTCACTCTGACCTTTTTTGGGTTATCCTAGGTTCTCTACACATATGCTGCTATGTATGATAATTCTATGTAACGGTATTTGTGTATACCTGAATAAACTTACTTACCCAGTAATTTAGGTGCTTGCTTAAGTTTATATGAGCTGTGAAGGTTCTCTACATTTTCCAGTCCTTCAGTTTCTCCTGCCTTGAAGGATGCTGTTAGTAAAGAGCAATATTCCAGCTTGGAGAGAACGAATGACGTGAAGAGTGTCATAAGTGGCTTGGCCTTTCTTCTTTGTCTACATACACTGACGACTCCAGCTCTTGTACACTTGTCTGTGTACAGTGCTCCACCATTGTAGTACACTGTACACTTGGCACCATCACTTGGACACAAATACTGTGTGGCAGTGTTGGCTGTCAGTACTGAAGGGTCGCAGCCTCACCGGGGGATGTAATATGAATATTTCCTCAGGTTGCTGTTGCCATGGGGCGTGGGTTAGCTTTCATGTGTCTCAGCCAGGTGTTGCCATGGGGCGTGGGTAGCAGCTTTCTCACTACAAGATCGTGTATCTCAGCCGGGTAATCTCACTGAATCTAACACCACTGTCAGTTAATGTTTTTGCTAGTGTGTGTCGCTGACAGTGTTTATATGTTCAACTCCGGTGCTGAGCCCTGAACCTAATTTCTATTATATAATGAGGGGAAGAGCTAAGCCTATTTACACACACAGTGACTGGGTAATAGAATGTAGTCATATTTGATCCAAGGGTGGAAAATAGCAACAATTTCTTAACTCAAGAGCCCTTCACCAGCATCAGGGCACCCGTTGGAAAGGGACTGAATGCCTGAGATGGGAGGGTTTGATCCCTGGGTGTGCTGTAACAAACTTCTACCTCTGACACCATTGGGGACATAGTAAAGTAGTAGGACCTAGGGAAGTAGCCAAATGGGCCCAAAGGACGAGCAACAAGTTACACAGGGCTCGACAGGACAAGTGTTTAGCACTCTGGTCTTCTCAGGAATTGTCATATGACAGTTGTCTGTAGATCGAGGAGGGGCCTGATACCTGGAAGGTTTTCGGGGTTCAGCACACCTGTGACCTGGACCCAGACCAGGCCTTCTGGTTAATCGACACCTGATCAACCAGGCTGTTGCTGCAGGCTGCATGCAGTCCAGTATATAAACCAGTCTGGCTGGTGAGAAACTTATTTGAAGAACTTACAAGTTCCCTCTTGAAGACATCCAGAATTCTTGTAATTTCCCCTATTCACGAGGGAGGACGTTGAGAATCCTGACACTATTAGTTTTCTTAACCAATCAGTGGGGTGATTTAAATCTCTCACATGATAGAGAGCATTAGACACTAGCTTTAAAACTATTTTCATGTTTCATAAATAACCTGTACACACTAAGTTTATTGGGTCTGTCTTGGACCATTGACTAGACACACTAACACACGAAGGCAAGGGATGTATATATAGGCAAAGAGGACAGGGACAGGACAGAGAGGAAGTGGAATAGTGGTGGTAGAGGTAATACTGGTAGTGGAAATGTGGGTTATTTGCGTATTGCACCAGTCACGATAATGTGCCTTTTGATTAATTATTTTTATATTGTCATAGTTCATAATTTTATCCAGTTTGCCTAAAATAAATTTTACCTAACCAAATTTATTGTGTTTTGTACAATGAACCCAGTAGAAATGGAAGTCACTTTTTTTTTTTTGGGGGGGGGGGTTATTCTTAGTAGAGATGGAATGCATATTAATATGAGTTTTCAGGTTTGGCAGAACCAGGATATGTCTCCTTGTCTCTTTTTTTTAGGTTTATATATTGTATTGCTGGTAATTTTTAAAGATCAGTTGATAACACTTTTAGGATATTTTAGATTATAGCCTATTTAATGTCATTATTTCATCTATGACTTCTGGGCTACAAATGTGTAAAACTCTCAAGAACAGGAGAACACAGAATATTGAACTGTGATGCCTATAAGACCTTGTAATCTTATTTCTTATATACAGTACAACCCCCATACCCACTGATTCAGCAGCTGTGGTTTGTTATCCATGGTTTACTGTGGACCAAAAAATACCTGTTAATTTTGCATAATAATGGCCCCTAAGCACAAAAGTAGAGAAGCTGGCAGTTCTTCAAAGCCTAAGAGAAGCCATACAGTGCTTCCCATCAGTGAAAGTGATAATTCTCCACTTAAGCATAATTTACCAGTTTAACTTTATAATAGGTATGTATAGACTTGTATATAGGGGTTTGCTACTTTCCATGGTATCCGTGGCAGGTCCTTGGAATGTATCCCTGTGGATATTGGGTTTTTACTGTAAGTACATTTACTGTTTTAAATCACAAGACCTAAAAAAAATAGTTAGCATTTTGGGGGGTACAAAGAACATAACCTTATTTTTGTCGTATGCTCTTCAGTTCAGTTTGCACAATTTTTTAACGTGTTATTTCGAGAATGTAACTATCTTATCTGAGGATCTCCTCAGATATGTGTATAACACTGGCTGTCTCCTACTGAGGCAGGGTCAATTGAAAAACACTTTCCACCATCATTCACACTATCACTGTCTTGCCAGAGGTGCACAAATACAACAGTGCAGGCACTGTACTTCCCACCTTCAATAGATTGTACATTTCCTGGGGGAATAGGTAATCAGGTTTAATCCAAGGAAGAGATCAGGTCAGATTCATTGGATCAAGAGCCTTCTCACAGGCATCAAAGCATCTATCTTGAGGGGAAAACAGATGCATAAAATTACACTCTCAGCATGAGTGGGGCAAATAGGGATACCTATGTAGTGTAATTGTATGTGAGGCTACAACAAATGTCTGAACATTTCACTAGGTTTCTGTCACAAATATTTCTCCTTTCCAGATGGGAGTGAGGGGTCCAAGTTCCGGTTCAACTTCTTCCGGGGGTTCTGGCGGCGGAAACAGTACTCCTTTGACAACAAGGTGTAGAAATGAAGGTCCTGGCATTGGTAGCAAGGGACCCTTTTCATCCACCTTCAGCAGGCAATGTATCAAACCTCTGCTTTCTTCTCTTAAGGCTCCAAGTAGGACTTCCAAACCCTTTCTTTTGACTTCAAAACCTTTGTCGTTTACCTCGGAATCGTCGTTTGTGATTGCAAAGCCTTCATCGTCAACCTCAAAATAGCAGTCGTCCTCAAAACTGCTAACCTTGAAATCTTCACCCTCGATTGCGAAACCTTAGGTGACCTTAAAACCACAACTCAGACTCTCGAACTAAAAGATGACAGCGTATAAATATATTTTAAGCGAATCGTTATAAAAAAAAATACAAATATTGTAACCTGCATTAACATCTTGCAAGTTAAATGAAATATACCATAAGAATGGTATTGAGCAAGCAAGATAGAGGCTTGTCATTTGGTACATGTGGACCTGTTGAGTCTATATGAAGATGCAAGAAACTTGGATGACAGGTAGTGAGGAAGCATGTTCTCTGGTCTTAATCCTCTCAAGATGAAGCAAAGAAAATTGAGCAAGAAATTAGAATGCATAAGTAGCTTGAACATGACTTTAGGTGCACTTGACGTCGAAATATTGATTACACTTTATTCTAAGGCTTTATTGCCATGTAAATAATTATTTGTAAGTTAGGTTGTATATTTTAAATTGTTTATATACATATACAATATATATATATATATATATATTCCCTGACATGTGGGGGTCAGAGGTGATGAAATATACAGTTCATTCTGGTATATCAAGAATGATCATGATGAACACCATCCTAATTTCAATGTATCGCATTAAAAATCAAAAGCATCTCCTAATGTCCATAATGAACTAAGTTTATTATGCATTGTCGATGAAGTGAAGTCATCTGTGTTCACTTGAGCTGTGAGAACACAAGCCAATTAGACCAATGTTTTCTTTAGAGTTGACATGTACAGTTTGCATACCATTGTTTATTTGGTGTGGAAATCCTCTGGTATTGCTCCGTCAGTGTAACACCTCATATAAAACTATGATTAAGCCCTGAACTCCATAGTGAAAACAGTCTGCAATATTATTTCTTGTTCCAGATATATCTGCCAGGTAGTTACATTACCAATTAATAAGGTAAAGATATAACCTATTTGTAGATTCCAAAGTGGTCACTTCCCTGGTGCTTGGTCCCATATCAGACTACATATAGGAAGCTAAGATGGCTTCCAACCCTTCTACAGGTACTCACACATGAGCTATTATCAGTCTACCATTCAGTGGGAATGATAATGCATTGCATCATCCCTTTTCAACCCAGACTCATTAATAACCCACAAAATGAAAAATTGGAAGTTCAGCCCACTCTGAACTATTGCTATAATCCACTAACCACTTTATTGATGGTAAGTGGGTGGAAATATAGGGGTATGTTATTTACCCCAGCAGCATTGACCATTGAATAGAACAAGTCTGTGTGACTCGCGATGAAGATGTACCTAGGGTATTTAGTATGCTCAGGATGAATTATGGGTTGAAACTTTAAACATTCTGGTTTGGCAAGGATGTTGCAGGGTTGAGTTTCCACCACTGTGTGCAGGATGACCCACACGGGATTAAGTGGTTTTCAAAGCACTTTCTGGAATTTACATTGGCTGTAAAGTGTTGTGTAATTATGATATTTAAGCTTAAATATGGAACAGTACATTATTAAGTTGAAGCATGAATATAGTATGACACGTTATGGAAGCCATATCGTAAGTCTTTCGTGGCATTTTTTTTTTTAGCCATAACTAATGCCTGTTTAAGTGCTGTTTTCTTTTTCTCCCCCCCCCCCCAAAACAAATCTGAAGTGGTCTAATCAGATTCTTTACCACAAATTCATTTAAATATATTGAAGCAAGTGCTGTTTACTTTAGAGTTTATATTGCTTTAAGGTGATTGGGTGTAATTAGTCAGGTGACCAGTTAATTGAAATATGTATCCTCTTAATTCATCTCCACTACCTTTGGTGTGTAATAAAGAGGACCTGACATGGTAACTTAACTCTGGCATCATACCAGTTGGCAGAAATAATTTAAAAATCTCTGAAATTGTTGCAAAAAGGCATCTTTAATTCAGAAAAGGAGTCTGTATAAAATTAAAATTGTCACCATGGAAGACACCATTACCACAGTCTGGATAATTATGGAGTGACCCATCTGCCCAAGGAAACCATTTTCCTGTTGAAGTGATTGGCATTAAATTGAAAAAATAACCTATTTCCTCTTCAGTTCATGTTTCTTAAAACACACACACACACACACCTTGCACTGTATTTACATTATAATTAGTTAAATGACAACCTGTGTAATGCATACAGATGAGAAATAGCTTAAAATTTACCTAAGAAATCAGTGCTGGCATTTGGATACCATGTGTTTCTTAATAGCAGCAGTTTTTTGATGGTACTGACTGCAACAGTGTGAAGTTGTCTTTTGTGAACGTTAATGATGCCATAATCTACAGCCTTCTGCCCTTATTACTGAGCAAAGTAAGGCATGTATGCAAGGTCACTGTGGGTCATTCAGCAGCTATGAAGTAAGCTACACTAATATGAAGGACAGTCAAAATATACCGTAGTCTTCAGACCTTCTAGATTAAGTCGGTATAGTCCTGGGTTCGCAGTTGCAAGGTTGCTACTTTGGTCCCAAACTAAAGTTTATGCAGAAATTTGACAGGTTTAATTATAATTAGTGTATATTAAATATGTACTCTAAAATTTATGTAATCTTATGGCCAGAGATGATCTTGTCCAGCTATTTACAGTATAATTAGTGTCACGTCCTGTAAATAACTTAATTTGCTAAGTCTGTTGCGAAGACTTCATTTATGATTAATAACCCATAACATTCCGGAGATTTCTTAGCTTTGTATATACTATATATATCTTCACATAGTGGCTGGTGTGTAAAAATGTTTTGTAAGCCCTGTTTGAATCTCATCGAAGACTGCCACTTGACTAAGCCAGAGTGAAAAATGAGAACTTAGTTTCTAGGTTTTCTATCTGTGTCAGAAATCATGTTGCATTCCATTAATTAAAAACGTTGAATACGTAGTAATAGTACATTTTAAGCTATCCTGAATTTTGGCCGGCAATAGAGGCATTATCGATGGAGGTTGTAAAAGAGCAATTCAGTACTGTCGCTGCAATAATTAACAATCCTAAATTGAGGGAATTTTTGTTTGTCATTATCAAGTCGAGACTTTATGAACTCGTTTCCTCTGCAAATTATAGTTCAGTTTTAATGAAGTTATATACAGTAGTTTGAAATTTCTCCAATTACAAATAGGTTATATTTAGGGGGAAGCCCTGAATCCATATGGATCATATAGTCCTTGCTGGGTGGAAGGCAGTCAGGGTTAGATTGACGGGAGTTTGGTTTTTTAATTAAAAAAGCCCCTTACCAGCATCAAGGGGCCTCCCTCGAGAGGATCACCGAGTCTCGAGGGAGATGCCGTGACAGTTATAAGCTTCTCTTGATCCAAAGAATTTAATCTGGTTTCTTCTTGGATTAAACCCAAATGCCTTCCATTTCCTGAGACTGCATGACCCGTACAGGTTTAGCATTCCATGAATGTAATAAAAATTAAATAGTTTTCATCAGTGATCGAGTAGCTGGTGTTACAACGCCTCATGAGATTTCAGTGTCAAGGCAAGCTTAATACTTTCCATTTTTTTTTTTAGGCTTGCTAGGTCGTGTCATACATTAGTCTCCACCTAAGCCCATGTGTAGCATCCCTGGTACAAAACCACATTTATGGTTTGCCAGTGTATACATTGTGCTAAACCAGTTTTTCATACACTCTTGGCATATTGGTTAAGTGAGCTGTACTTAAAAACTAGCTATTTTTTTAATGATATTTTTCTTTGCATTTTTATTAACCTGTAAATCACTTGGAAAATAAAACAATATAAATATTTAGTCACTTTTATTACTTTGCCTTATAATCTGTTTAAAATGTCAGTATAAACACATGAAAGTAGCATGGATGGAAACCAAGAGGGGGGGGGGGGTGTTGTCATGAAAGTAGCACATCAGTCTTCAGCAGAACTTCACGAAAGTAGCACATTAATCTACAGCATCACCTCACGAAAGTAGCATGGATGAAACCAATGTTTTAACTGCTACTTCGGTGATTAGTTTATTCTTGCTACTTTTGTGCCATATTAATTTCGTAAACTTCCACCCCTCCTTTCGTCTGTGCTACTTTTGCGAGCGTCCATCCACTGCCTTTGGTTTCGTCCATGCTGCTTTTCCAAGTGCATCCCATCCGGTTTTCATCCGTGCTACTTTGGCAAGACTTCTATGACTGGGTGCTACTCTCATGTATCCAACCCCATGAAAGTAGCACCCAGTCAAAGAAGCGTCTTACAAAAGTAGCACAGATGAAAACCAAATGGGATGCACACTCAAAAGCAGCATGGACAAAACCAAAGGTAGCAGATGGACACTCGCAAAAGTATCACTACCAGGCATAACGGTGGCTCATGAAAGTAGCACGGACGAAAGGAGGGGTGGAAGTTTACGAAATTAACATGGCATGAAAGTAGCACGAATAAACTAATCACCAAAGTAGCAGTTATAGCATTGCCTTACAAGAGTAGCAACATGCCGAATGGACATTAACAGAGGGAACAGTGGTTCACAAAGTAGAGCTCAAGGGTGTATTGGCCCACAAAGCAACATATCTGGTACCTCATGAAAGTAGCACCATTGAGAAAGTTGTAGTGTTACTAGTATTTTGGGCAAAGTAGCAATCCCACTATTATAATCGAAGAAAGCGGTAAACCAAGAAGGGTCATACAGTGCTGCATCATCCCACGAAATTACCAGGGATAAAATAAATCACGTGAAAGTAGCAACACAAAAGCAGCAGCATTATGTATACAGGTATAGCTGAAGAAAGCAACATGGAGGGAGGGGGGGGGGGGCACAAAATTGGCAAGGGTAACCATATGAAAGTAGCAGAGACTACACAAAAGTAGCACTTGTTCCTTGCAGAAGATGAAACTTCAAAAAGGGTGGCTGCCTCACAAAAGTAACAGGGTAGAAAAGCAGCAGTGCGAAGTTTTCCTCCCCCTCAGAATTACTTGTTAATTAATGGCCTCATCAACTTAAAAGTCTGATACTTTTGTGAGGCAAACTTGAAATTAAGCCTTTAGCCTCAAAAGTACCAGACTGGTACTTTGAGGCTACTTCTGTGATGACCCATCCCTTCACAGCTACTACCTTCATGAGCCTTCCATTTCCCCATCCCTTTCCAAATTTGTGAGGCACCCTTTCCCCAACATTGCTACTTTTATGAGGCAACTGCTACTTTCCTAAGATGAGACCAACTTACTTTGCCCAAGACTTTCCACAAGATCCTCAGCAGACTGCCCTTCCCTGTCGAGGCATTTGACAAACTGCTATTTCCCCAAGATACTTCACAGACTGCTACTTCTTCCCCCAAAGATACTTCTGCTACTTACTTTGGAGGAGGAGGAGAGGGGGGGGGGCAAGGTATTCGACAGACTGCTACTTCTAAAACTTCTGGTATTACACTTACCACAAATAGTACTACATTAACATCACTATTGGTAATAGACTGCTGCTTCCCTTGTCGTCCCCTTCAAAGACATTCAACAAATTGCTACTTCCTTACCCTGCCTAAAACTCTGTACTTAATCCCTCCTCCATACACAACACTGCTACTTCCCCCCCCCCCTTCCCCACACTCAACAGACTGCTACTTTAAAATCAACCACCACTGCTATTATAACCCCTACCCAAAAAATGCCCAATCCTTAGTTGTGCAGGCCTATCCAATGGGTTAATCACCGTAAAAATTGTGCTGGAGAATCCTGCACCTTTGGTTTAGTATCCCTCAGTTATGCCCCCCCCCTCCATTCTTTTTATTTACCTCCCTGTCATCTTTCCCCCACTTCATGTTTTCCTACCATTCCTCAACTTCCCCAATGCTCCTTCCATTGTTACTTCAATTTTCCTCTTGGGATAGCCTGTTTAATCCTTCTATCGCTTGCATTCCTAGTTACATCTATAGAGATTAATGTACTTTGACTGGTAAGCCCAACCTTAAGCCACTTTCAGAGAAATCCCTACACTGCAAAGACTGATAGACTGAATAACACTAACAGATGCCAAGCCAACGATACTGTTCATCACACACTTTAGACGAATACGGCTATATACTGAGCCTTTTAAGGCAGGCAAAACTGCATATCTGGATAATGTGCAGAACCTTTAGTGAAAAAGAGTGCAATGAGAATTACCATCCAATCTCCTACAGAACTGTGCTACCAGCACTAGCATGGTTCATTATGTCATCAACCAGGAGGTCTTGTCTGGCATGGGGCCAGAGGTGTGGGACCCTTTATATTAAGACATTTCAACACAAGGGTCATACATCAAGGTAAATAGAGTAAAAGTTTCAAGGGAAGGGCTATTTGTTAATGTTCCCTTTACCAGTAATACCTATTTCTACAAGTACATGTACAAGGTATACAGGCCTAGCTTACATTAGTGACATACTACTGTATAGAAAGCCACTTGTTATGCAGAGCATTTTGGGCAAATTAGGTCAGTTTTGTCCCAGTAGGCAACCCACACCAGTCAACTAACACCCAGGTACCCATTTTATTGATGGGGAACAGATAGCCAGTGTAAGGAAACGCCCAGTATTTCTACTCTTGCTAGGAATCTAACCCAGATCTTCACCGTGTGAAGAGAGCTTTAGCCATCAGGCCACAGGGCACCTCTTGAAGGGAGACTAAAGCTAGAGGATGAACAAGTCTCTAAACGCAGTGGCCCCGAGACATTCTACCAGCAGATGTCAAATATTGCCAGAATGAAGGTAAGCTAGACTTTCCTCATAAGAGTTACGCATTATCCAGGGTGTGATGGCCAGATGGGCTGCTAGCAGCCCAGCTGACTAGTTGGTAAGTAGGGAAGCCTACCTGTAGGCCAGCTGTGGGGAGGGGGGGGGGGGGGGGCTACACCAGTCATGGGTAAATTACAGGATATCTTTTTGGAGGGGAAGGTGGAAAAAAAAACAGGTTATTTATCAAGTTTTCCTATACAGTATTCTGTCAAAAACATCCCATTGTGAAGCTTATGTATTGCCTTACCAATAAAAGTTTTATAATTTTCCTTAAATAGCATGGAACAATGTTACAAGTTTTATCTACCAAATTATGAAACTAAACATTATCCATAAAATGGTTATTTATAATTCATTCATGTTAAGAATGACCAGCAACAAGAGACCATTAATAATGTAGTTCTAAATCTGTAGCAATACAGCACCTGGGGAATGGCAAGCAATCATGTTCAATACATATCCAGTTCCTTGGATCAAGGTCTTTCATCATCAAGACATCTTCCTTAAGTCACATTGATTTGCCAGCTTTTAACATTTTCTTTTAGTAAAATCTGCCATTTGGGCAAGCAGGACTCTTGCCTTTCCTATAATTAACTAAATGCAGTACCACCTATCAATGCCCGTTTCCTAATACCTATTATTATAATCAAAAAGAAGCGCTAAGCCACAAGGGCTATACAGCGCTGCTTCCTAATACCTAGCAAAACTCAATGAGCATTTTTGTACAAAATGTGATGGAGGAAGGTTGGTTAGTGAATTACCAAATGCTTTAACCAGGGTAGCTCAGAACTTTAGTAAAATACAGTATAATAAATTAATCATAAGTGAACCTAAGTACTATCATGCGAAGTTAAAATTTCCTTAAATTTAGGTCGAAGTTCAGAGGTCCTTACAGGCACCCTCGTAATTAAAAAAAAGTGACAGGCAGAAAAGCCTAAACTGTGGCTACTAAATGCATTCTGCTGTGTTTAAGCCATGTGCTACAAAGGAGGCAACCCAAGAACACCTGCAAGCAGGTGGCTGTGATATAGGTGTGCTTAAACCTCAAAAGCAATTCATCCGACTATTCCTGGAGGGTCAAATACCCACATGTCAAACCCTGCCTAATTGGCTGTTCACATTTAGGACCCACCAGGCCCAGATGTGTAGGTAGGGTGGAGGCACATTGCTGTGCTCTTTTGCAAACATACAGTTTACAGTTACATTCATGGGAAGAATACTAAAACCACCCCCCAAAGGGTGTATACAGAACCTGGACAAGCAGATTTCATCCAAACATTTAGAGAGCACCAACTGTAAATCACTCCAGCATAAAATACACATGGGGGGGGAAAAAAAAAAAAAAAAAAAAAAAAAGTATGAAAATGCATGCTATCATGCTCAAGTGGAAAGGCCTAGGCCAAGGGCAGACTTAACACAATCCCAGTAGCACCTAAAAGCAACGGGAAAAGGGAAGGCCAGGAGCACCCGTACACAGGCAACCATGGAAGAGAATCTTAAATCCAAGCAAGGTAATTTTTGGGGGGATTAAGATGCTTTTACCATCAAGGTAAATAATAGCCCAGTTTACACGTTTTAATATTTAAAAAAATAAGTTTTTAACCTTTTGACTGTCGCAACCCCCAATCCTGAGGTGTCTCCTGGTGTCGCAAAAATTAAAAAATTCTTATGAAATAAGAGAATCTTTTCCCGATTGTAAAGACCAAAAAAACGAAATTTGATGGAAAACTGACGGAATTACGCTCTTGCGAAGTTAGCGACCTCGGCGATATTTACAAATCAGCGATTTCGCCCACTGAGCCCTATTTTTGGCTAATTCCATTATTCAAGTCAACCAAATTCATAGCTATTTCTTCAGAACTCCATTTTTTCCATCGATTGAGTACAAGAAACTGCCCATTTACCGATTTCAACTACCCAATAACTGTCAAATTTGCTATTTGGCCAATTTCACAAAAATTAAAAAATATGACAATTTCAAAATAAGGACCTGAATGAACAATGCAGACATTCCTGGCTCTAAAATAACATTTTCTTCGTT